GTCAAATATCTATATATCTTTAGTTAAATTATATAAGGGTCGTAAAAGAATAGAAACGAAATTCTTATCTTCCCTAATATAATTTCTTTAGAAAATTAGGTCATCGTCGTGCATTAACCTAAGATAAATTGTGTTTAGAAATTATTAACTCATGTGAAATGTTTTCATATTTGTTTTTCTTCTGTAAATGAGGAATAAACGAAACTACTCTTGATATTTTTAGTGAGAATAATAATAAAATTTTATGAAAAATTGTGGGGGATCGAATCAGAGGATATCTGGTGGAGAAGGATTGAAAGGGACAGAGAAGTTAGAAATAAACATGAAAATGGAAAGGGACAAAGGAGGGAATTAGAAAGGTGAGGGCATCATCGGTATTTACTTAGACGAAAAACAAACTCTCTTTTTTCAATTTCTCTGTCTCTTCTCAATTATTACTTCACCAGCTTTAATTGTTATGTATCTGTCTACGTATGAAAGATATTTACCCATACACACAGAAAACAAAACAAAAAAAAATTCTAAAAGATCGATGTGAATTATTGTTTCGTAGGAATGAAAGAAAATAATAACTTTTTTCCCTAGAATGAATGATAAAAAATGAATACCATTTGATAATTCATAAACATACATTTTTTTTTCCTTCCATATGGTCATGATTCATGACACATAGTAGGATATTTTCTCGTGGGGATCGTCCGGAAATGTTTAGAAGAATTACTATATTTTTTTATGCTTTGCTCAAAAAAAAAAAAAAAAATGTCAATTACAACAATGTGTAAAACAAGTGTGACGACTGGTGTAGTTATGAACATGTTGAGTATTCTTTAGTTAAATGCTCGAATTTATAAGGAGCATGGATCTTTGTATAAATTTGTGATTTATTCATTTTAGTATAGTTGTTGGTTAGTGAATATGACTTTTGTAATTGAAAAGGAACAATACCCAACTTTCCTATAGTCTTATTGTTCTACGTAACAGCCATATATATAAAAGATATATAGAGATTTTCAATGCATCTTTTTTCTTACGAATTCTACAAATTTCATAGAAGCTATTATAGTTTTTATGGGGAATGGCCCTGAAGATACGGCTGATAAGAATTATTCAAATAAAATGAAAAATTAAAGATCCGATCACCAAAGTTGCTTGGCTACTAGATATAGTATAGTTGTTTATAGCCCCATGATTTCTCGGATTCATGAGAAACACAACATACAAAGAAGACCGAAAAAAAAAGACACTTTTTACAAACTAATTATTGTAACTATTATTTAGAAAACAGTGTCTATGGATTTAAGTCTTAGAATCTTTTAGGGAGTAGTTGCCCTAACAAGACCAATTGATCGAACCTATATAAACTCAGTTTTTTTAACCCAAATTTTGTTGGTAAGTATATAATATTAGATTACGTACTCTGAGTACGGTACTCATTTTTGCATTATTCGATTGGATAAACTTTTGGATTCCATCCAATAGATATATCCGAAAATAGGTTTGTAATGTCTTTAGGCATTTGTTCTATAATCAACGGTCCAAGATTTATATTCAACATCGGAGATTACACCAAATTATATCTCTAGTTGGATTGTGAATGTCTTTTGACAAGAAAGAAAGAATGTCTTGTTACTCTACATGCGTATGCAACTACATGAACATAGGGTAACATTTACATAGTGGTTGCTACTTAGAATATCCTCTCTATAGGCCCTTTGATTTATAAACTCCTATGAGTACGTACGATAACGAGCATGCAGTGAGAAACAGAGGATCTTAATTTACGCATCACGATCTTTTTCATTGTCGTAAAGTACTGTTGAAGAGGCAGAGGGCTAAAGACTCAGAGCTTTTGTAACTAATGTCTACGTGGCCCTAAAGCCACTCTTCTTTATTGCAGAGATTTCATTTTCATTTAGGGCATCATTAGTTTCAGTTTGTACTTTTGCCCTAATTTCATGAAAACGTTTATAATTAGTTTTATTATATTTCTTATGAAATAATTGGTTTCCCGGAAATTAATGGGGGAAAATAGCGTTTGGAACATGCATGGTCCCCTCTACGATCCGAGCCTTATATTCAGTCTGTCATATGTTATTCGCTATTTACACCTTACGTTACACTGTTTATATTTAGATCATTTAGTTCATCAACGTACAATATTAATATTTTTCAATTTTCAATAATTCGTCATGACTTGACTGTAAGACATTTTCCATATATTATATGCCAGTTTAAGTATATTTAACTATACGAGTCTATTTTGTGGAAATTTTAAGAAGAAGTAGAAATTAAACTACTACTAAATTATTATAAACACTCACATATATATATATATATATATATATATATATATACATGTTCCTACCTTTTAACAAAGCAGGTTTTCTATAAAAAAAAAAACATATATATACATACGTGCAAATTGATATGACATTTCCATGTTCAAATGATAATCCCATCTTGTAAGTTCTTGTTCTGACTGGTATATATAAAACATTCCTCTTGCTTTACCCTCAAAAGTTGATACTAATCTTGTGGGGCTGTTTTTTAAAGTTAACAAAAATGTAATTAATTACATACTATAGGAAAGTGAACTCTATTTATTGAGCATTTCAAATAATTAAAATAATTATACTTTTAGTCATTTTGTATGTAGTTTTTTGTCAAGAATATTTGTATGTTAGATTTTTCTAATAGGTAAACTATTCCTCCTGTGTTTTTTTTGTTGAGTGGTTATCTATTAATCTAAGAAAAAAGCTGTTTTAGTTACAAAGCTCCTTCTTGATATTTGAAACCAAGGTGAACAAACCTAAAATCAAATCTGCCCATATTATAAAGACTTTATTGAAATCAATACTTTTGTGTTATAATAATAATAATAATTTTGTGTTGATAATAATTTTAGACTTTGTTGAAATCAAAACAACAATTCTTACACTCTTTAATTTTGTTTCTATGCATGACTTAATTGAATTTAATTACTTTATTTTGTTTCTATGCATGACTTAATTTAATTTTGTTACACCATGATTAAATTCAATGTATATATAGAGAGAGAGGAGAGAGATTGAGAGAGTAAGAGTGGTGCAGAAGGAATTTCATTGTCGAAGAAAGAGCACGCTCTTCGATAACGTAAATGCAATGCAAACAATAAATGAAGTGAATTCATGAGAATTAGTATCATCATCATCAACACACATCTTCATCATCATCACCTATCTTCATTCAAACACACACACCGTACGTGAAGATGGATGAAACAATCATGACATGCTTATGCATGCATATTTATAAGTGTGTCTATATATTATATATGCTTTAAAGCCGTTACATATGGTTTAAAAGATGGAATATTACATCATATAAACGGGAAATGTCTCTTGTTGTAAGCTTCTTATTTTGGATAGAAGATGTACCTTTCACCTACAACTGCACCAGTTACATTGGTGGTTGTGACATTTATTACTTCTCTCTATCTCTCTCTCACTGTCGATTTATTGATTATACGGTGTGTGTGAGAAATTGCATAGAATATTCAACGCACATGACGTTTCCTACATCTTGACGACTTAAAATTTTCCTATACGTTGATACATATATTGGTAATTTGCAACCGTAGAATTGTCTTTCGTATCAATTCTGCATATTTTTTTAACCATTTAATAGTGATGTCGTTTTTTTTCATTCCATTGATACTCCAACCATTTAATAGTGTGATGTGAACTACCAATTTAAACCACGTACTCATATAAACAAAAAAATTGGTATTACAAATTACAATGTATGTGACCACTAGTGATTTTCTGCATCTAATGTACACAATTGTTGTAAGAAAAAAGTAATAAAAATTTGGAAAAATGAATTACTTGAAACTTGAAACACAGATTTTGTTTTACATGTTTTAGAAAAAGGGTGATAGATATGATTATTATATTACGTCGTGCATGTACATTTTTTTCTAAGAAGGAATAGGATAAGAAGAGTGAAAGAAAAAGCAAAGTGTTAGTTTCCTAGAAAGTTAGAGAAGAGTTATCATTGCTTCGACTGATATAAAGATGAAAATATGAGGAGAGAGATTTGTTTTCACTTCATTAATGATTAATCTTTATTATAAGCATTATTAATTAATTTGATTGGAGGATATATATTAAATCAAGAGGATTTTTTTGTTAAAAAAAGAGACAAAGTATTCTTATACAAATTCCCTTATAAAATCTCTTAACTTCCTTGATTAATAATGACAAATACCATATGTTTTCTTTTATTAAAAACTACTCCATAAATTGTGTTTTAGGTGAGGTTTTTTTCGAATGTCTATGAAGGAACAAAACGTTCAGAAAATGTTACAAAATTCTTCTATTAAAAATAAACAACACATCTTTTTAAAAAATCAGGGGTCGTTATTTGGAAAGATAAATGGTCAAGATCAATTCAACAGAAGACAGATCAATACATGGTGATGGGCTAATATGAAAAGGTGTTTTGTATGCACATACACATATCTCTTTTATCCAAATCAACAACAACACATCAAAGCTGCTTTTTTTGCTTTCCTTTTCTTACGGGTAATCATTTTCTCATCGCTCTCCTTCTCTCACTCCCCTATCAAACCAACATATAATAATTAATCTTGATTCTTGAACTTTCATTCTTTGTTTTGTATTTATAAAACTTGAGACAAGTTTCAAAATCAGACAAGGAAAATCATGTACTATGTAGTAGGGGTGCCTATTAAGTTCAAAAGCATGCTAATTGTGTCTTAATCTTAATCCCATTATCATAAAATGAGCTTAAAACTCATAATAATTTTGAGACATTTTTATAATGAGTATTAGAGATTTAAGCTCTAATCGGTAACACGGATAATGGTCAAATGTAGTTTTCTAATAAAATTATACAAAAATTTTACTATTCAAGAAAATATGCATAAAGTTTAACAAAACACGAAATTGCTAGATTCGCATTTTCGCTTAAAATATTACAAAGTAAAAAATCATTATTTATGTCATGCAAATTTATTCCACCATTCTGCAAATGTATCCCATTAGCAGAAATTTTCATTCAACGAATGTTATTGTGCAACTTGTGTCATTATACAATGTTACCAATCAAATCTTTAAATTCCTTATCATTTTAATAAATCCAAACCCTAAATAAAAAATTTGAAAATTCACGAGAATATCCACAAAATTCATGATCACACTGCAGACCAATATAATATTTGACCAAGCTGATTGATCACTAAGTCTAAACCTTGCAAACAAAATGATTAATCATTTATATAAATTTATTAAAATTGTTTAGATGCATGGTTTTGGAAAGACCAAAAAAGTATCAAGAATGAAAAAGGTAGGATACATTGTTAGAAAGTAGAAAAATGGTGGAAAAGAGAATGATGATGTTAAAAAAAAACGAATAGGGATTTGAGATGAGAAGATCATTCCATATCTCATATACAACACATCGGCACTTTTCATTGATATAAAGTGTCATACTCAATAGAGCCCAAAACCCTTTTTCTTCTCTCTTTCTATTGATTTTAAGAAATGATTCTTATTAGATCCCTAAACCCACGTGTTCTTTCATTATTTCGCTCTCTTTGATTCTTCCATTTTATTCGTGTAACCGGTAATTTTTTATTATTTTAAAAAGTAAGTGTGTAACTTTTCAAAATTGTAAATTATTTAAATAAAAATACTCGAGATCTTCTTATAAGGTACACCTTGAAAATCAGATTAGCAAAGGCCTCATTCATATAAGTCACTCATGGTCGAAAGGTGTGATAATTCGATAAGTTGTGATCTTTAAAAGATAAACAAAATAATTGATAAAGATAATCGTATATATAAAAAAAAAAAAAAAAAAAAAAAAAAAAAAAAAAAAAAGATAATCGTATACTATATTCACAAAAACATACAAATGAAGTATTGGCTACTTGGTCAAATCAATTATCGATTACTATATGTATATATGCTCTCGTAGATCGAAATTCTTTAGTCACATCAGTTGGAAATTTTGACAAAAAAAAATGAAAGTAAAGCGAAACAATCCACATAACAATTCACACCCAACGACAAATGACAAATCGAACTGTAAGATATTATACATTACACAATTACAAATACGGTCAAAAATTCAAAATCGAAAAAAAAAAAAAATACCCCGGACATAAAAAAATTGTTTGAATGCTAAAAAAATAAAAATTCAGAACGTTGTGTAAAATATGTTGCACAAATTAAATATGTGGAAAATTGGTTAAACAAAGAAAGAACCTATAAATTTCAGCTTCAGAAGTTGAAGAATTTAACCTCAGTTTCTTCTACTAGGACGTGGCATTCCTCTTCTCTGGCTTGATGGCCAGTCTCCAGAGTCATTGTGTTCACTGCTTCTCTCAGGATTATAGTGACCTCTTGACTCATAACTATTGCCTCCACCTCTACGTCCATGTCCTCTTCGGTTAGTGCTGTTATGGCTGTTTAATCCTGAGGACCTTGAAGCAGAACCAGAGTGGTTCAGCGCCAATGGCAATGGCTCGACCCCTTGCAAATCAGGCTCTGGGGTGAACCAAACCGGGCGTTTTGACTCGTCCATTTTCCGAAAAGTGATTGATATTCTGTTGAAAAGAACAGGGAAGAAACAAACTCATATGAGAAAATTGATGTTTGTTTATAGAAGAAAATTTGATGCAACGATATATAGAACCTTTTTGTGGGAACTGCAGGTACACAGTGCTTAGCTACATCAGCTCCATTTCCATTTAACACCAGAACTGATCTGAAAAATGCCCAAAAACCAATCTTTGTTATATAATCGACAAGGAGTAGCAAAAAGTTTTGATATTGGGACTTCTTAAGAACTTGCTTACCCCACAGGAAGCGGTATTGAGTATGAACCCGAGAATTCACCAGGACCCTCAACTTTCAGGTTTGAGCCAAAGAGGATATCACACTCACTGAGGAAAGAGATGGTGCAGAACGGACGTAGAAAGTCGTGGTTGTCGATGTGCGGAGGTATGCAGTCACCTTCATCATATATGTTTACAATGCAGCTATCGGGAACACAAGTTGGAGGCAGTACATGCCATTTAATCAACCTTCTTATGATTACTTTGAAAAAAGGAGGTAATGGATCCACTTCTTCACGTTGAAGGATACCCGGTGGGTTTCCAGCTCTGTCCTATCAACCCAAAATACAAGAAGGTAACTCAGAATGAAACAGATTAATGAAAGTATGACAGAGAACATTACTTACTGGAGCGTAGTTGTAACAACAGCCAAATTGTATAGTCTCACGTCCTTTGCCTCTCATCCACTTATGTGGAGCAGTAAATGTACGCTCTACACACAGAGAACAAGACAAGATTCAGATTTAAAATAGGTCACAGTTAAGATAAGAGCATTTTCAGATGGAAACAAGAAGTTACTTTTAAGTTCTCCTTTTCGTCCCTTCTCTTGAAGTTGATACACTAGATCAACAATCCGTTTCTGCTCCACAGCGCTAAAAACACCAGTGTGCAACTCAAGTCCATCAAGCACATTAACAATCTTTCCCTTAACTCTCTCCAAACAAATAAAGTCTTTCTTTCTCTTCACATTCATCAGCCTGAGATTCTCTCTCTGATCTCTAGACAACTTAGGCTTCTCTGGAGTCCTCATCGAACTCGCATCAAAACCTTTCCTACTCGAATCCCTCTGCTCTTCCTCCTCCTCCTCGTCATCCTCGAACTCATCCTCTTGTGTCATATCAGCCCAAGACATTCGAGGGATTGCTGTTTCAACAACAGCTGGTCTAGAGGGTAGTACACTACCAAGAACTTCAGAAATGGAACCAAATACAATTTCACTCTCCTTCCAACTCCCTAACGAATGATTATCAAATTCTTCGCCGTTTTCCGACTTCCCATCATAATTATCATCCACACTGTTACTAACTCTTTCAGATCCCATATTCCCCACCACCGAACCAGAACCAGTTTTACACTCTCCATCAGCTTTCTCTGTGTTACTACAACAATGTTCTACACAAAAGGAAACACAATTGTCAATTCCTAACAACAAATAACGTTACTCTCTCGCCTCCTATTCGTTCCAATTACCAAACCCTAAATGTGCAGAATCAAGTACGATAATGAAGAAATCTCCGTTTTCTACACAGAATTTCAATTTTCCACAGAAACCAGAAACTTTCTCGCCTCTAAGAAACAGTTGAGAATAGTTACCTGGGTCAAGAGAACGGATTCGATTGGAGAGAAGGTTATTACAGTCCTTGCATAGATCTTTAGATAAGAAAGGAAGCCAATTCGTCAAAAACTCCGAAACGATCTTAAGTTCCGACGGCTGGTACTGCCGGAGAAATGGATCGTCTTCCATTTGATTCGCTAGATTCCGATCGTACAATCGAATCCAACCCTCTTGTTACAGAAAATTCAAAATTTCTTAGTCCACGATTTGAAATCTAGTACTCTTTTGTCAGTGTGATTCTGTGACGGTACAAATTCAAGAAACCAAACAAGGGGTAATCTCGGTATTTACGGCAGCCAATTAAAGCTTCTGGGCCATTTAATTTCTTATAAGCCCATTAATTTCGAACAGCCACGTGTCGAGAATTGAGTGGGTTAAAGGATTTTAACGGTTGAAGATGAAAAAGCTTATCTTTTTGCAAAATCGATTCTTTCTTCATCAAAGCTTCAAAAATCTTAAAAACAACAAAAATGAAAACTCTTCACTTTTTAGCTCCCAGTTCGACCATTATCAATCTGAAGCAGCAACAATCTTACACACAAACCCAGTTCCTGTTGCATCGTAACAACAAACGAACTCTATCGATAAACTGTGTAAACAGTGGCGGTGATGATGAGAAGATCTCTCAACCGTTGGATGGAGTGGAGATAAGATTCAAAAGAGGATCCAGAAGGAAAATGAGGGAAGAGGGTTCAGGAGAAGGAGGAGGACAAAGCGGGAAAAAGAAAGAGACTGTTCAAAAGCCATGGGAAGAGATGACATTGAATGAGAAGGCATTGGAGCTTTATGTTGGAGAGAAAGGTTTGTTGTTTTGGCTAAACAAATTGGCTTACGCGTCGATATACATTGTCATTGGAGGTTGGATTCTTTTCCGGTTTGTTGGACCGGCGTTTAATCTTTATCAGCTGGATACGCCGCCTCTTGATCCTAAGAACATCTTAAAGGGTTAAGAATAGCTTTTTAGCTGTGTCTGCATTCTCTGTTCCAATACATTTTGAGGCTTATGTCTTGAAGTTAGTTTCGAATAATGTGTAGCCAAATCACAAACAAAAACAACAAACCAAATTGTGATACACTAAAGAACACTCTTCATGATTCTTCAAGATTGTCGTGTTGGAGTTATGTCCTGATTAAGAATATCTCGTGTAGTCTTGCACCTGACATGAAAAGAAGATAAAATTGATTTTGGCTTTTGTTTACCTTAACTCAATGCATAGAACCAGAATCATTAACTGCAAAAACTAGCATAAAACTCACCTATTGCACTCTGCTCGAGATGCATAATTGTGATTCTTGCAATTTGTACACATCCAGTCGCCATCACGCCATTGTTTCGCTCTAAGAAATCAGTCAACACAAAGAATTGGGATGGTTGCAAAAGATCACGCCATTGTTCTAGCATTTAGAAAACAAGAAAACAATCGAGACCAGAGATCAATACAGTACCCCTTTCCAAGTAAAGCAGGTGTTGAATGTTGCTGTAGAAACGTGAGAGGAAGTTGCCAATTTGAGACCCTTCCTGGGCTCATACCAGGAAAAGATGCATATATCGCTGACTGTGTTTGCATGCTTGTCTGCACAAAGAACCAGAAGAAACAGAGGTTAAAAGGTTAAGCAGCAAGTGAATTTTATGAATGTGTTAATCAATTTATGCGCTCTAACTAATCCTTACAAATCCTTGATTCAGTCTTTTGCTATCCCATTCATGAGCCAAAGCTTCTGATGCTAATCTCTTTGTTCCAAGGGCTGCAACCCAAAACAAACTTCCCCAAAATGAAAACTCGTTCTGAACGAATATCAGAGACCTTTATGTTTGATAGAATTGTGCAGCATCGATATGAGTCAAAATAGAGAAAAAACATACTTAATGGAGCTGTTTCATTGCACTTTTTGCACTGCAGAGACACACAAAACAGAAATGAGTAAACAAGAAGCCGGAATCTGCAAGTCGGTTTTACATTGTGAGCCCACTTCCCCACCTGTATACGAGAGGAATAATTGTGAAAACCACATCTGCAAATCCAGTCACCGCTCCTCCATTCTTTATGAACCGAAGCTTGAGTTGCAGTGTTAGAGAATGCAAGTAAGGAACCAGATTGATCAACTGACTCAGGTCCACGGGTGAAGAAATGGAGATGAGTCTGAAGAGAAGCTCCAGGGATTGAAAGTGCTGACAATGCTGCTATTTCCTTAAGTTGCCCACATTTCTTGCACTTTTCTCGTGATGCATAATTGTTGTTAGTGCAACCTATTGCCACACCACACCACACACACACATACCAAACACAGAACGAAGAAGAAACGCACGCACACCACACCACACCCACCAGCAATTTCCATATACCACATAACACAGAATACACAAAACGGCTCAACCTAGTTATAAGTAAAGCCACTAATCCACAATTCTAATCTAATGAATCATCAACTGGAAAAGGGCATTTGAAAGTTTAAGAATTCGAACTCAGAACTTAAGATTCAGATCAATTCTAGTTCTGATTCACAATTCCAAACTAATGAAACATCAAATGGAAAAGGGCATTTGAAAGTTTAAGGATTTGAACTCAGAACTTACGATTCAGATCAATCCTAGTTTTTCTTCTAGTTCATTACCACAATCTGTGAAGCTAATTCACACAATCCTAGTTTTGATGATCTCTCACGGTATAACACTTGTATGTAATGATCGAAAGAAACTTGAACTGAGATAGGAGAAGAAAGAACGAACCAGTGCAGATCCAATCTCCGATACGAGGAAGCCACTTAGAGTTTGGAGAAGTATTGTTATCCATGAAAAGACGAGGCTGCTTACATCTATTGCAGAATGATCTAAACGCATAATTCCTGTTTCTGCAACCTAAACATTCCCAATCTCCTTCTCTTCCGTCTCCCATTTCTTCTTCCCGGAAAAACTCCAGTCTCCGGCGACGACTCACTCTTTTTCTTTCAGAGAGGAGAAAGAAAGAGAAAGTTGACGAAAGCTAAAGATGGGCCAACTATCATAAAATTGACTCGGCCCATTAGGCCCATTAGGACCATTAGGCCTATTCTTTTCTTCGGAGAAAATCTCTTTCGTTGTTCACCAGGTGATGTGATAATCGTTCTTCATCAGTAATCAGTGATTTCTGGGTTTGAAGTTTCTCTAGATCGATTTTGGATTTAGATCTCTTTGTTTACCTGAATTTCTCATTTCGTTGGATCTGCGTTTTGCAAAGGGAGATACACAGAGGAATAGCTCTGATTTGAAAAGTTTTTTCTCCAATCCACCAAATCTCAAGCTTCCATGGCTCTCAATCTCCGTCAGAAACATACTGGTAATTATCTCTTTATAATTCAATGTGAAATGATCTCAGTTTCTGCTATGATTCGTCTCTTGCTTCATAGATTGTGTTCGATCTATTGATTGTTTTAGGAATCTGGAAATTTAGAGAATTCTGGTTTCTTATGAGTAGATGTTGATATTGGATCTTTGATCTCTCGGTTGCAGAATGTATAATCCGGATCCTTTACATGGATCAATGGTGACAAAGATCGAAGACCTGTTCATGGAGTTACACTTTACTTTCTCATAGACAAAGATCGAAGACCTGTTCATGATGTTCCTGCAGTGTACTTTGTTCAACCTACTGAATCTAACATCCAGAGGATCATAGCTGATGCTTCTAGATCTCTCTATGATACCTTTCATCTGAATTTCTCGTCTTCGATACCTCGCAAGCAACTTGAAGAGCTAGCTTCTGGGACTCTTAAATCTGGTGCTGTTGAGAAAGTCTCGAAAGTGCATGATCAGTATTTGGAGTTTGTGACTTTGGAAGATAATTTGTTCTCTCTGGCTCAGCAGTCTACTTATGTTCAGATGAATGACCCATCAGCAGGGGATAAAGAGATTGAAGAGATTATCGAAAGGGTCGCTAGTGGTTTGTTTTGTGTGTTGGTAACACTTGGTGTGGTTCCTGTTATCCGGTGCCCTCGTGGTGGACCTGCGGAGATGGTGGCGTCTTTGTTGGATCAGAAACTGAGGGATCATCTGTTGTCCAAGAATAATCTGTTTACTGAAGGTGGCGGTTTCATGAGCTCGTTTCAGCGTCCGCTCTTGTGCATTTTCGATAGGAACTTTGAGCTCTCGGTTGGGATTCAGTATGATTTCAGATACCGGCCTCTTGTTCACGATGTTCTTGGGTTAAAGCTCAACCGATTGAACGTGCAGGGAGAGAAAGGTGGAATGAAATCGTTTGAGTTGGACAGTTCGGACCCATTCTGGTCAGCTAACAGTTCTTTGGAGTTTCCAGAAGTCGCTGTGGAGATCGAAACACAGTTGAACAAGTACAAGAGAGACGTTGAGGAGGTTAACAAGAGAACCGGTGGTGGGAGCGGGGCTGAGTTTGACGGGACAGATCTGATTGGAAACACCAAACATCTCATGAATGCTGTGAATTCGCTCCCGGAATTAACCGAGCGAAAGCAAGTGATTGATAAACACACCAACATCGCAACCGCGCTCTTAGGACAGATCAAGGAGAGATCTATTGACGCTTTCACTAAGAAAGAAAGCGACATGATGATGAGAGGCGGAATCGACAGAAACGAACTTATGGCTGCTCTAAAAGGCAAAGGTACAAAGATGGACAAGCTCCGGTTTGCAATCATGTACTTGATCTCCACAGAAACCATAAACCAATCCGAAGTTGAAGCCGTGGAAGCAGCATTGAATGAAGCTGAGGCTGACACAAGCGCGTTTCAGTACGTGAAGAAGATCAAATCCTTAAACGTATCTCTTGCAGCATCTTCGGCAAACTCAGCGAGCAGAAGCAACATTGTAGACTGGGCTGAGAAGCTTTACGGACAGTCTATAAGCGCAGTCACTGCAGGAGTCAAGAATCTGCTATCTAGTGATCAACAATTGGCAGTGACTCGAACCGTTGAAGCTTTAACGGAAGGAAAACCGAACCCGGAGATCGATTCTTACCTATTCCTGGACCCAAGAGCTCCAAAGTCGTCTAGCTCCGGTGGTAGCCACGTGAAGGGACCGTTTAGGGAAGCTATAGTGTTCATGATTGGTGGAGGTAACTATGTTGAATATGGAAGTTTGCAGGAGCTGACTCAGAGACAGTTAACCGTTAAGAACGTAATTTATGGAGCCACTGAGATCCTTACCGGAGGTGAATTGGTGGAGCAGCTGGGAGTTTTGGGAAAGAAGATGGGATTAGGAGGTCCGGTCGCTTCAACGTCATTGTCTGGTCACTGAGTGTTACACACTGTTGCCTTTCATTTTTCTTTTGCCTTTTGAGAGACTTTTTCTTTAAAAATCCCCAGCGGTGTTATTTAACAAACAGTTCACAGTCTCGTTAAAAAAATTTCTTTTAGACAATAACATTATGTGGTGTGTTTATAATTCCATTTATTAATTAAGAATGTAAAATGATTTTTTTTTCCTTTTGTGCTTATTTTTTTGGTTATATAAGTAAATGACAAGTAGATAACAAATTGTTTAACTTTGATAATTATCATAATTTAGTGCTAGTTGTTATGATAACAATTGATAAGAAAATATATCAAAAAAGTCTTAAAGAGAAATTTGTAATGTGATTTATGAAACTTTTATTATTATTATTATATTCTATTGTTGGTTATGTAACACTAATTACCATGTTTAAGAAAATCCCAAAATGATTGAAATCACTAAATTATAAAGTTCTTCATTGCCATCTACTTTGTTTTTTTTTTCAAAAAAGAAAATCTATGATATGAATATATTATACTTAAAAAAAAAAAGAGAAAAAGCAAAAAAAAAATCAAAAGAAAATAAAGTAGAGGAGCAACAAAAGCAAAGCAGCTGGTCCTTTCCCATTTTCTGTATAATTCGTCTTCGTCTCTACCTTCCATCTCTCTAACCCGCTCTCCTCGGAAACCACAGCGACGGACGATAAAACTTTTGCCTCTAATTTGCTCCTGAAAATCTGGAATCAGCCGGAGCGAATCTCGAAGCTTATGATCTCAACTTGTGAGGATCCAATTTTCCTTTTTTCTTGTATAATAATAATCTCATCAGCTCTTTAAGATTTTCTCCGATCGATTTCGATTTCTCTAAGGATTGAGTCGATTAAATCATATGCTTATACGGTTTCTCTCCAGAAAAATGATCGATTCTCTCGTTTATTTCAATAACCTCCGATGATTGAAGATGATAATTCAACAGTTAATAACGCTTCTCTTTTAGTGGCTTTGTGTTTTGTTGATTGCTTCATATCCTTTAACTCATCATTTATGAGCTTAGCCATGTTTGAAGCTAGATCTGCTCTTAACTTTGGTTTTAGAAGTTTTTTTTGTTTGTTGTTGTTGGTTTTAAGCTTTCTTCTTTGTAACTTATTTTAGGCTGAAGAGGCTGGGAATGGCTGGTAAAGAGGAGACTAATGTATCTGCACAAGGGTCTTTAACCAGGGAAGCCACTGAGATATGGAAGAGTGAGTTGGAATCTCGTCGGTTGCAGGTAGATAGTTTAGAAGCTGAACTTGTGGATGTCAAGGCTTACCTTGAGTTTGGTTCAGAAGAAGATGCCAGAAAGGAATTAGGGGTTCTTTCCGGTAGGGTCAGATCGACTGCAACTATGTTGCGTTATTTGAGATCAAAAGCTAGAATCTTGGCCATTCCTGATGATCTAGCAAATGTGGAACAGATTGAACTGAAAGGATTGAACCTTCTTGAGAAAGATGGTGGTTCGTCTTCTGAAGGGGCTAGCAACAATAATCCTGAAAGTCGAAAGTACCGTGGTTCCTTGGGTATAGAAGATGGAGCTTATACTAATGAGATGCTCCAGTCCATAGAGATGGTTACTGATGTGCTGGACTCTCTTGTGAGGAGGGTTACAGCAGCAGAATCTGAGACGGCTGTTCAAAAGGAGAGGGCACTTTTGGGAGAGGAAGAAATCAGCAGGAAGACAATCCAGATCGAAAATTTGTCCTTGAAGCTAGAAGAGATGGAACGATTTGCTTATGGGACTAATAGTGTTCTAAACGAAATGCGGGAAAGGATTGAGGAATTAGTTGAAGAAACGATGAGGCAGAGGGAAAAAGCTGTGGAAAACGAAGAGGAGCTGTGTCGTGTGAAGGGAGAGTTTGAGTCTCTTAAAAGCTATGTCAGTACTTTTACCAATGTTAGAGAAACACTTCTTTCGTCCGAGAGACAATTCAAAACCATCGAGGAGCTCTTTGAACGGTCAGTCTCATATCTTCTTTATGCAACTGTTTCATCACCCCTTAACCACAAAGACTAAATCTTTTCTTCTCCTCACCACACCACAATTTATGTCTCCATTTTTCCGATATTTTGTTAATGATGAAGCAGGCTGGTCACTAAGACGACACAATTAGAAGGCGAGAAGGCACAAAAGGAGGTTGAAGTTCAGAAACTGATGGAGGAGAATGTGAAATTAACAGCACTTCTCGACAAGAAAGAGGCTCAGCTTCTAGCTTTGAATGAACAATGCAAAGTCATGGCTTTGAGTGCATCAAACATATGAACTTGCTATATCTTTGCTTTGTTGTTGGCTCATCTCTTATTTCTTGAGACAATTCTTTCGCAGAAGATAGATGATGCAATCTTCTTCCTTCATTGTTTTTTGCTTCAAATGTGACATTGTAATTTTTATCTGTAGATTATTATGGTTAATGCATAAAACTAGAATGTTCTATCTTTGGTTCTTACTCCAAAAACGGCAAGTAATTCTTACGTCTGTGTATCAGACGGCAAGATGGCAAATTTGTAAATGACGTGGCAAATAGAATCAGCCAACGTCTTTTATCCACGTGTAAATACGATCGCTCTGTTTCGTAGACTTCTTGTGTTGAAGAAGTTTCTCTCTAAAACCCCAAATCTATTTTCCCTCCTTTGTGAGAAATTAATCGGAGAAAGAAAAAAACTGAGACTAGTGCGATTTTGAGCAATTTCTTCGTTTCCATGGAGTCTGATATCGAGATTTTGTCTGAAGCTGATGCGTCTATGCAGAAGCTACGCATTTTCGGAATTGATGATCGCGAAGATGAGGTATTTTGTTCTGTTCTCGATAAACCCTAAAAATGCCACCTTTGATTCTTTCTCCGATGATAGATTTTTAGGGTTTTCGTTTTCTTTGATGTGTTTCTGGAAACGAATGTGTTGGAGTTGTAGGTAGTTGCTAAGGTCTTCGATTCTGCTTGAAACTAAAGAAATCGGACATTTTCTTCGGAAATTTGAAATGTTCCTGGTTCTGATTTTTTGTTCTTTCTGTTATCTGGTAGAATGGGAGAAGAAGGATTAAAGATGTTGAAGTTTATGTTCCGATTGTGTGTGGATCGATTGCTTTTTATCTTGGAAAGAAAGCCACAGAGTAAGTGTTTTTAATCTCTTTTCTTCATGTTACTATTTCTGTGAGTTAGGGTAATGAGCTGCAATCTTTGAACTTTTTTGGTTTTGTGTTTTCATGAACTAGATATCGAACACATAAGTGGACTGTCTATGTACGTGGAGCTACGAATGAGGATCTTGGTGTGGTTATCAAGCGGGTTATTTTCCATTTGCATCCAAGTTTTAAGAACCCAACTAGAGTGGTTGATTCTCCTCCTTTTGCATTGTCTGAGTGTGGTTGGGGAGAATTCAAAATCGACATAACTGTAATCCTCCATACCGATGTCTGTGAAAAGAAGTTGGAGTTGTGAGTTTGTTTCCCTTGTGATTGTGAATTTCAGTGGATTATGTTGGTAATATATCTTAGGATGCATTGAACTTCTTTCCAGGTCTCACGTCTTAAAGCTGAACCCGGAGAATGCATATGGTCCTATTCCTAAGTCTATTAAGATACCCGTTGTCGCTGAGTCTTACAATGAAATTGTCTTCCCTGACCCTTTTGAGAGTTTCCTTGCCCGTGTTCATAATCACCCGGCTGTACACATCTCTAACCTCCCAGATGGTTTCAACCTGCCTCCTCCAGGTGCATTCTTGTTCTGATGTCTTAGTGAAGCAATAGTTATTGCCGGAGGCATGATAATTCTCGCATTGTAATGTTGCAGGAGTTGCTGACACTTATCATCTGATGGAAAAGGGAGACACTAAGGATCATCCACTCAGTCAATGGTTTTTGAAGTTTTCAGAAGTAGAAGAGCTTTTTAAACTTACTGCAGCTCGTAAGAAGGTTTCTACAGCTCAACTTACCTTTCCATTGTTTAGGTTTACCATTTCATAAATTTAATCGGTCTCACATTTTTGAAAAACCCACAATTCAGTTTTAACATATATGATACAGCTACAAATTCCTCTGCTCAAACTTAAATAGTAGTTAAGACTTTGGGGCGTATACTTGTTTGGCTTTGTCTTGATTTTATAGGATTATGTTAGAAATTCTTATTGACTGTTTACAATGTAATTATAGGTACAAGCTCATATTGCCAAGCTAAAAAGACAGTTGATCATGGTAGATGGGCAACCTGAAGGACTTCAGCCTTCCTCTGGCTATGAATGTTAATGATCAGACCACAACAGAGAGGAGTTTGCTCAGAAAGTTTTTGGGATACCGTTAACAAATCTCGATGGGGGTTTAAAAACCTGAGATATCTTAATATCAGAACACCTTTTCTAACTGTTAGAACATGTAAAAAGGAACCATTTTGTAGTCAATATCGGTGTGTATACCTACAAAGCACAAGTGCATTTGCTCATTTTGTTTGCTTCTTTGTTTCAAGTTTCTCTCAGACGTAAGCATCACAGGTTTGTTACTCCTATGCCAATGCGGAGCTACTCATCATTGGTGAATGTGTGAAAACACAACTTTAACATGATGTTGTCTGACATAGTATCCTAAAGGTAAAGCTCTATATCTTTCATGTTTTCTTTGTATAGCAGATGGAGGCGGTGCGAAACCGGTATTTGCCTTTTTCTCTTCTATATGTAAGTCATCTTCTTATCGTCTACTAATTGTCGTTTTCATATAAAGATTGCGTGGGAATTAGGCATTTGCAAGACTATTGTTTAGTTTTCTAGAAGAGACACACATTCACTTGTAATGGGTAGGGACCTGTGACAAAGACGTTTATCAGGCTCTTGTTTAGTGAAATTCAAAATAATCACATGTGAGCTTAGAAACCGAAAGAGAGAGACAAAGATGTCGAAATCATTGTTTCTCATTGTGGCCATAGAACATGGGAAATGAACTTCCCCACTTTAGGGTTATCCAAGAAATGAAACTGGTGGCTCAAAGATGGTGGTGAGGAATATATGTCTTCTTATGTATTATGACACTCTTGGCTTAGTTGTGGTGTTTTAGGTTTTTGGATAGTAGCCACATGGGTGAGTCTTGTGATTTCAAGACAATGGACCCTTCACACTTTACCCTCTTGCCTCTTATTTTTTTTTCTAATTCCTTGTCTTCTTCTTGTTTTTTGCGAGAATTATAAATTGTATAAACATAGAAATTTTAATTTTAAAATCAAGATGTGATAGTTTGAACTTTGAATATAGAAAATAGAAGAAGATTTATCTTAAAATTAAATAGAAGAAGGTGTTGGGGCTTTCGGTTGATGTCAACAAAGGAATGAATTGATAATGTCTTCGAGTTACAACCACAACAGGTGTGCCAATTAAATTCAGCCATCTGTCACCATCATCTCACTGTCCCCACTCTTTGATCCCACACCACTCATCTTTTTGACTTTTCTTTACTTTTATTCTGAAAAATATTATACCTTTTCTTTTGGTTAAATAAAAATAATACAGTTTCTACATTGTTTTGTACTTAATAAAGGTCAGAGAGGCTTAAAAGTTTGCCCCAAAAAATAAAAAGGTCAGATAGGCTTAAAAGTGAAAGTTCTATAGCTAGTAACAACATCGTGAAAAGATGAAACAAGCGTCGAGACAAGTTCATGTCCATCCTATCCACGGGGATCATGATGAATACGATTGTGCTTTTATTTTTTAGTTTAACACTAAAATTTGAACAAAACAATATCATTAAGGACGGTGAAGAAGTAGATGAACACAAGGCATCGACCTCGAGGATGGCTTCATGATAAAACAAAAGATTAGGTTCTTGCCTAAAGCATTAATGTTCTAATTTTCACATGGGAACATATATCCTTTATCATTTGTGTTTATTAAAAACTAAATGAAAATTTAAATAAGTGATCATCGTCTTAAGAGTATTTCAGAATACGTCTAGATTCATGCGGCTTATTAAATATAACTATTATTGGTGTTGTAAAAAAAAAAATGGTAAGAACCCAATCATCTAATATGAGCTTGTAAGTGATTTTTTAAAGTGAAAATAGTTGTAATTATTCAGTAGTTTCTTCATATGTCTAGAACAAAAATCTATTTATTGAATACACATTTTTGGTCATTATTGAAAAATTTAAAAGGGTAACTTTATAGAATAGTCTTGTCTTAGATCTACATGACATTGTTAGAAAAAAAGAAACAAAATGTACCTCTATGTTTTTTTTTGTTGAGGGAAATGGGCATTTATGTATGTTTCAATAATGTCCAAATATTGTAACAAAATAGAAAATACACGTGTACGTATATGCAAAATAAACACAATGGTTTTGCGATATCTTTTTTTGTCGAGTCCTCCTTATGTATGTATCTCCTCAAGTACGTACTTTTGTTACAACTTACAAATCTCTTTTACTTCGTCCGTAATCTCTATGTACATAATAGAATAGATACATATATATGTATCTAACGGGCCGGCCATGGTCTAATTTATATGATATTAAAGGTAAGAGAAGAAAATTGGACACTTATTTTGTAAAATTGTCTAAGTATGTAAAGGCAAAAGGGAGACATTGTAGGGCAATGTTATAGTCCCTACCAAATTTTGTTTTGTATACATTCTTTCATAGTTTTAATTGCATCCCTCTCTTGTCCTTGTTGGCTCTGTCCTCAATGTTTATTTGCCCTTGCCTCCTACATACCACATGATTTTGCTTTCACAAGAGCAAAGAATCTAGGTGTCCTAATGAATCAAAACATGAAATTTGATTGGTTTTAGTTTTTCTACATATATATGATATATGTATATGCAAATCATTGATAATTTTTCTAGATATATGATTAGCTAGGAAGTTCAGTTTCATCGGACTTCAATCTCTTGAAAACATTGTATCCGCCATCTTTAATTGGAAGGCCTAGAGAAACTAGAACTCGAATTCGTGTACATGCTTTGCCATAAACTAGTATACAATTTTTCCCCCAAAATATACATACGTGTCTACGTGTGTGTTTTCTTTGATTTTTATCCCAATTCAAAATCACTCCATGTGTTTCTAATGGTTAGTCGTTGATTTTGTGAGAATATATACACATCATCTAATCACTAAACGTTCTAATTAATCAACCTAATCATGATCTAAGAAATTACAAATTAACCAAATTGTAAAAGTTTAGTGTTGTGAATTTATTATCATTTCATTAAATTATATAGAGCTTCTACTTATTTTTAATAAAATAGTTAATTAAATCACCAGCCGTAAACGGAATGGTAAATTTTTTTTTTTTATCGTTTGATATTTGTTTGTCAGCATAATTTGATGTTTTGTCCTTATATATATACATGCAAATTTAAATGCTATAACATACATATAATATTGTCAATATTTGGTCAACGTCATAAGTAACCAAACCTATTTAATTATAATCAATAACTATACAAGCCAATTTGAT